TTTAATTGGGGAATTGGTGGTTTTGGTCAGCTGTCAGTTTTGAAGAAACCTAGAGAAAGCTATATCAGCTAATTTAATGAATCATAATCATTGGCCTCAGAAGGAATTCAAACCCTTATTAATTCGTTTTCCAATTTAAAAATTTAGTGCGCCAAAAAAATTAGCATTATAGAGGTACCATTTTTCAAACAGGGGGGTCTGAATAAATTTAGAAAAATTTAGCATTATAGAGGTACCATTTACTAATCAGGATCCAACATTACACGGTGGACATCACCGACTGGAAGCTGGGCATCAGTGAGAGAAAAATGAGTTGGTTGAAGGAGTGGTCCAAATGGGCGATTTCCCAAGGCCACATGTTGGGCCGGGACTTCCAGGCAGGTCTTGGACGGCTTGGTTTCCTGGCCGGTATTGCAAAGAGGGCGAGACCTTTCTTGGCACCTCTCTACGCATCCTCGTCACGGGTGCGGGGAGGATCGTTTTTCGAGCTGCACCTTTCAACCAAGTTGGCCATTAAGTTTTTTGAGGAGTCCATTGGTGACCGGCCCATGAGACCGTTGTCTTCGTGGCCGTCGGTGTTGGGCGAGGTATTCCGTGTGGACGCCATGGCCGACCTGGAGGGTGTGGCCGTCGGAGACGTTCCACACCACCGACCCCATGAAAGCACGATGGTTTTCTGTGAAGTTGAATAGGACTACGGCTCCTTACTTGTACGTCAAGGGGGAGCCCTTCAAGACGATCGCCAGCGCCGAACTTCTTGCTGTCACGTTGGCGGTCATGGTTTTCGGCCCAGCAGGAAAGTGGCGCAGAGGAGCCGGCAGAGTGGCGGTGACTCGATTCACCGATAACATCTCGAACGCCTATTTGCTGGACAAGTATCTCACGACCAAGGTACTTCCAAAAATGCTGGAGGCAGCCATGAGCTTGGACGAGGAGATCCAGTTGAAGAAGACTTCCAAACAGAAACCTTCCTTTGCTGACAAGGCGCCGGCCGACCAGAAGCTTCGCCTTACCCAGCCTTGGTAAGCTAAAGAGGGAGGAGACTGGAACGGCGAAGGAGCACAACCCCAAAAAGATGCGGAAGTTGAAACACATGGCAATCGAGAAGCTCGCGTTCGATGAAATGTGTTTGAAACTGTAGCGGTGGCTCACAGAAGCCCACCCAACCGGGAGGAGACTGGAACGGCGAAGGAGCACAACCCCAAAAAGATGCGGAAGTTGAAACACATATATATATCTAAGAACTTCTAGATCCGGAATCCGGAAGGAAGGCCGGCCTGGACACGGTGTTCCGGTGTCTCGGTCATAACTTTGGGGGCACAAAGGATGTCATCATAATATGTCATTCCATGGAGGTGGGAGATCGGTTTGAGCTCAGATACAGTATTCTGAAAGCAGCCCTCGACGTCCTTGCTCATGAAGGTGCAAACTCTCCAACGCTTTGAGCTGACCCAAGAACTCCAAACAGTGATGCTTGGAAAATTCAGCAGGCGTCGCTGATTCGATTCGATTCCTTTGGCATCAACTGATGAGGTGCAGCAGTTTCCTCAACAATGAGCGTCCACGCGTGTGTTTGTGTGTGCTGTCTCAATTTGCCTGTGTGGCAACGGCGGCTTCCTTCAGAAGCATGGTGCGCTGCTGTCTCACTTGCATGTGTTTGGTCTCACCTTTTGATGGCTGGTGGCCGGTGTTTCTGTTCCTCTTCCTGTAGTCAGTCTGTGCGACGCGTGGCTTCGACCACAATGCGCGCAGCAATGGAAAAGATAGCTTGCTGCTGCAACTGCTACAACTTACCGTGCGCCCTGCGCCTCGTACCGCACTTTGCCACTGCGCAGTGCGCAGATGACTTAGAAACAGCTGCAGCCATAAATCTTATTCTTGCCCTCTTACTCGGCAAGAAGGCTGTCACTGTTTCTTTGCACCAACCTCTCGCGCACTGCTCTTGCGATGCGAGGCCTGGCCTTAACGCGTGGCCTGAAAGCAAAAAAATCAGGCGAGAGGCTACCAGATCTCGAGGCTCGTTGGAGCGACTGTGACGTTCACTCTTGCAACAGAAATTCAGAAAGCGCTGGTCCTGTCCTGAATACTGGCATCATCTTTGGCATCGTCTTTCAATCTTTGCATAGAGGTCCATCCTGCGCAGAGTTTGAATAGCCTTGTTTCGCCACGGGGCCATTGGGCTTTGCAGCGCCGCGTGCAATTGCTCCACATGCTCCTGACGTGCGCCCACATTTTTCTGAACAGAGTGCAAATGAGGTACATTAAGTACAAAGAAACAGTGAGACACCACGCCTAGTGCGCAGCGCGGGTGAAACGGAGGAGAACCAGACAGCAAATCAAGTAACAAGGCGCATGTCGGCAGAGAGTTTCTCATCTCTCTCACTTCTGGAATGGCTGCGGACCGCGTGTTTTCAACATTTGTTGGCAAAGCGCTCAAAAATGCCTTGAGCTGCCCTGTTTTGGGGGACCCCAAAACTCGCATTTTAGAGGTCAGATTCCGTCCCCAAAAGCAGAGGCTCTTGACGCATTACTTGTAGCGCCATGGTCAACCCGTGCTAGGAGAGGCCGTGGCCCGAAACCCAGCGTTTTGGGCTCTCGCTTGAAGGCCGCCAAATTCACCGCTTACTGCTGCAAGTGCTAGACTAGACTTCACGCAGAAGTTCACGCCGCAGGCGCGGTTGCCATGAGTATAGTTTGGAGAGGCGCGCGTCCAACGTGACCACCTGCAGGCCTGCTTCCGGAATCTTCAGCGCTTGGCCTCACTAGCGCTTTAGTTGGTTACCAAAGCCAGGGTTGGTGGGCTAGGCTGAAGTTAGCTTCTCGTATGGTGATGTAGAAAAGGAGATGGCAGCATAGTGGCATCACATGCGTCAGCAAGGCGGTGTGTCATCTAGAAGAGGAATCCCGTTGACTTGGCTCAGCTACCACCTTACAGTGATGTTTGCCCGAAAACACACCTGTTGCGTGAAGGTCCACGTGGCCTGACCCGTGGCGACGCCGCCGGCTCCGTGTGAAGCGAAATGAAATTGTTGGTTTTTCTCGGTTGTGTCCTTGCTCCTAGTAGTACTAACTTCACTCCAGACTGGACGGATATTGGGAAATGCCGTGCCCCATGCTGTCCCACCTGGCACAGTTCCCGCCCAAGAGAAACGCATCCGATTAAATCAAAATTTGCCTAGGGCTGTGCCCCTCCACACGGTGCCCCACCCACGCCTACCTCCGTCATGTTCAAAACAATCAAAACCGATCAAAAAGAACAAAAATGGATCAAAATCAGTGAAAAACATGAAAAATCAATCGCAATCGAAAACAAGGAAAAACGTCAAGAAACATGTAAAAACAATCAAAATCAACGTTCAACAAAAAACATGAAAAACTCACAGAATCAACAAAAAACATGAAAAGTCAACCGAAAATCCACAAATATACAAAACAACACGAAAAATTGACAAAAAATGCCAAAAAACAGAAGAAAAACAGAGGAAAAACAAAGGAACAGTCGAGGAAAAATCGAAGAACTGTCGAGGCGCTACTTTTCCGCTATTGTTCCTCTACTTTTCCTTTGCTTGTCCTCTGCTTTTGTGCACTTCTTGTCAATTGTCCGTTTTGATTTGTATATTTGTTTATTTTCGGTTGATTTTTCATGTTTTTGTTGATTCTGTGAGTTTTGTTTGTTTTTTGTTGATTTTGTTTTTTTACATGTGTTTTGACGGTTTTCATTGTTTTCGATTGAGCTTCATTGATGTTCATCCGTTTTAATAGTTTTCGATTGATTTTTCATGTCTTTCATTGGTTTTGATCCATTTTTGTTATTTTTGATTGGTTTTGATTGTTTTAAACATGACAGAGGTAGGTGGGGCTGGGACAGAGTGTGGAGGGCGCTGATTTGAACCAATTCCTATCTACTCCCATTCTGCCAGCATGAGCGGGGCCAAAGCCTTGCCCGGAGTGAAGGTAGTACCTAGTAGTAAGGCCAGAAGCCCCTAGTAGCTTCTTGTTACTAGTAGCCATGCCAGAAGCCCCTAGTAGTTTCTTGTTACTAGTAGCGATGCCAGGAGCCCCTAGTAGCTTCCTGTTACTAGTAGCGGGATGCCAGGAGCCCCTAGTAGCGGCCTTGCTCCTGGTTTTTTTTCTTTTGTTTTGGTGTTTCGGTCCTGTTGTGCCGGTGTGTCTCAAGGGCGGTTGCTCGTCATATCTTGGTGGTTTGTCAGACTGCAGTGAGCTGTGCATCATAGTTTTGCTCCCTAGTGTAACATAGCATGATTTCGCGGTGACCCGTTCAGCTGGGGGAACTCTATTTACACCATTTTACACCCGCATCATTTCAATCGCCGCTCTGATCACCAAGCGCGAACACGCAAGGGATAAAAACCTTGCTCATTATTGCGCAGGCGCAGGCCCTGTAATGTTCCCCGAACATACGCAACCCGCAACCCATGACGAGACTGTGACTAAGAGCTCTGAGCACCGAAGGCTACGAAACAAAAAATCCAAAGGGTGAGACCATTGTATTTTCTCATTCGTGGCGCTTTCTTTGGCCACAATGCTTTGCGTGTGGTGTTTAGCGACAATGTGATAGATTGATTTGTAAGTGTGATCGGCGCTTTTCACTGAGGTCATCCAAGCTCTGGCCACCATGTTGCCGCGGAACTTCATCATCCCAGAGGCGGTGCTTTGTAAGGAGATCTGACGCGAAAACATTGCGTATTTGATGTATTTGTTACTGGTTGGTCTAGTCGGGGAGTTTTTGTTCAATTGGGATACCATGGACCATCAACAATTGCCGGATTTTATGGCCCCCGCCCCACCAAAAATACCGTTTTACGATGTTCTACACCCGTTTGTTGCCTGCGTGTTATGATTCTGTGATCATGTTCTTTTGTTCGGGGCAGTGGGCGGTGGCCTGGAGATAATAACATTCGATTTCCTTGATGAATTTTTACACATTTTGTTTGGTAATACAATCGCTTCCATGTCATGTCATTGACATTTCTCTAGAACCATGGGGTGTTGGTGGTGGGGTGTAGGTTTCGTTGCGTTTAGCCCATGCGCAGTTTCCGCATGGTTGTAGACACCGATACGTTGGTACAAACGCGCTGCATTCTTCGGCGCAAAGTAATTGCGCAGTGATTCTTGTATTGGGTTTGTATCAGTTAGTACATTTGTTTATGGTACCGCCACACTGGGCCGCCGCGGACTGTGTACTGGAACGTGTTGTCGGAAGTAGTTGGGCGGGTGCGTTGTGGTGGGATGATGACGTTGATGTCCACGTGAAAAATACTTTGTCAAAATTTAACTGTTTGTGGTTTCAGCATAATTGCTGGAACTCAAAAAACAGATAGTTGCTGATGTTGCTGGAATTCCATGGCAGGCCATTAGCGCAAACAAATTCAATCCTTCTGTCAACCCGCAGCTGATCCAATGTGCCCGCAGCTGGCAGTACAGAAACCTTGCAAAGGATGAGCCTGTGAAACACTTAGAAAAGACATGAAAGAAGTTGTTCAACTTCCAGAAAAGGTGATGAAACAAATAACCTGGAGATGTCGCGGAATGTTTGCCGGTCGATTTTCAAAAACGCTCCGAAACACATATCGACCTTCAAAACACGCGACGCCTGAGTGGGCTCGATCCCTTGTTTATCACTGAACTTGTATGATTTTATTTTTGGCGTGTGTGTAGCCAAAAATATCTAAGATTTGGGAAGGATTTTTACAAGAAATCGTTGCGCAACAGCGTTTCCCATGTGAAAAAACACGTTTCATGGAAAAAAGTGCGCGACCTCAGAGGCTTGCCTGCCCGCTACCCAAATGTTGGATCGATTTGGACAAATGGACACCCAACAATTCTTTGTCAAAGTATGTCAAAGTCAAGATCAAAGACCAAAAAAAATCCGATGTTGTAGAATGTGGCGAGCAATCACCACAGAAGGAGCTTGCCAAGGGTGATTGGAAAAGGCCGACGATGTGCCGGTCACAATCACTATATTGCATTGGCAAAAACCTTTCTAGTCCAAAACGCATTTTGAGGTGCAACCCGCCCTTGCCTTTCCAAAAACAATGAAAACAATGCCCCTCGAAATTTTGCAGCAATGCATTTGGGGAGACTACGCAAGCCTAGCAGCAGCGACAGAGTCCGGAGAGGGTTAAGTTAGCTCCTAGCCACTGGAGGCAGCATAGTTCACGTTAATGATTTGGTTAGGTTTTAGTTTCAGCAAGCTGAGGGCAAGCCTATTACGGCGCTGCGCAAGCAAACATGCATGCTTATGAAAAAACTGTTCCTTTCAAACCATCCCCCAATCAAAACTTGTGCGAGACCTTCCCCATCTTGGTGAACCTGTGCGGCAAAACTCCTAATAGTAATTGAGCTGTTCAAAATCAATCCTTAATTCCTGCGCGGATTGTGGTTTATACGGATTGCCGATTGCGGATTACGGATTCCATGGTTATTATTCGCGTGTATTTCTTTATTTTGGAGGCTTTGGGGTGCGTAAGGTAGAATCCAGGGCGCAATCATTTCGGGCAGTCGATTATTATTGGGAGGGTAGCAGCTATGTCCCTTATATGCAGTAGGTGCTCAGGTTCAACCCAGCTTGCAGAGGTTGATTGCTTTTCAGGTGGTTAAGTGGTCAAGAGCTCCGAACGGTAATCAAATTCCAGGCGGTATTTTGATTATATACTTCTCAGGTTCCTGATCAAGAGCTCCGAAAAGTAGTCAAATTCAACGCGGAATTTTGATTACTTTTCGGGTGCCTAAGTGGTCAAGAGCTCAGAAAAGTAATCAAATTCCAGGCGTATGTTTGATTATTTTTCAGGTGCCTAAGTGGTCAAGAGCTCAGAAAAACAATCGAATTCCAGGCATATGTTTGATTATTTTTCAGGTGCCTGAATGGTCAAGAGCTCAGAAAAGCAATCGAATTCCAGGCGTATTGTTGATGATGTTTCGGGTGCCTGAATGCTTAAGAGATTCGAACAGTAATTAATCAACATCCAAGCAACTTGTTGATGACTTTTCAGGTGCCTCAGTGGTCTAGTGCCAGACATGAGAGTGCGCTCGCCGAACCTATAAATGACTACAGCACCCAAATACGCCCAACAGTCACAAACACCACACTCAAACGAATTATGGCTATTTTCTTCCTCGGATTGTCGGGCAAAACCAGGATAATGGATCATAGTAGAGGCCGTCCTTATTTTGAAAGGCCAAACTAAGCGGCCAAGAGGCGTTTGGTTGTAAAGGAATATTGTGCACCTGTCATTCTGCCATATTCTGCCTGCAGGTCGAACATAGTTTGTGTCAATGTGAGTGGGGAAAACTATCTTCTTGACCTAAAAGCATGAAGATCTCGATCTCGCCGACCAGGTGAAAGGAAACCTCTCCGCGGAGGATCGACGCATCCTGTTGGCCAGCTTCCCGAGCCATTGCTACAAGAAGGCCCACATTTGATCGCTTTTGCATTCTTTGGTTTGCTTTCCTGAACCAATCAAATGGCTCTAAACTTTAGAAGCTTGTTTGTTACTGTGACTTGGTTCATTCTGTTATTCACAGTCGTCGTAGAATTCGCCAACGCCAAATTCATCCAAAACCAACATTCATTCAAAAGAAGTTGGAGTCGTGCAACTGCAAAGACGTGTCCAGAAGCACTGTGTTTTTAAACCAACACGTCACAAAGATGTGGAAGTAATCCACATGCAGAGTTCTTGAGAGTACCCTGTTTCCAGGGATTTGGGTCGGTAATTCCTGTGATCCCAACCAACTTTGCCTTTACTTTAGGTCGCTAAAGTGATCATTGGCGAGCCGCCTGCAGATTACAAGACCTTCATGCAGCAGGTGCGCCCACAAAACGTTCAATGACGTCTGTATGTAAGATTACAGAATCCAACGGCAAAGAGGATCAAGATGAATGAAAGAAGGTTGCATGGCACGTACTTGTGTTTGACTTATTGAACCAATTTAAAATTACTGACCAGTATGCAGCCACCTTCCCTTTGTATTGTTGATTATCAGCTCGGGTTCGGCTGCATTTTCAATGTTCACCGTTTCGAGGCTTGGTTGAAGGACAAAAAGGCAAAGGCAGAAGCAGAGCTGATGCGAAAGAAGGCCAAGAGCGGATTGTTTTTATGCGGTTCTTGTGAGTTTGCAAGATTCTTGATTCTGAAGCACCTGGCTGAGCTGCCTTGGACATCTACTCTGGTCTTAGGCAGAGGCTGCTAGGAAAAAGGAAGAGGAAGCGCATAGGAAGGCGTTCGGACACTCAGAGTTTGGTCTTCAGAGGAGCTGGAAGGACTGCATTTCACTTGGCGTTTGACTGTGTGAGGAGCCTGATGTCAATGGGCTCCGAAAGTAGTACACAGTTCACCATTTGCTGCTTCCCTGCGCACACTGTGCCACTATGCTCGCATGCAGCTTGAATGGTCCAGGCTGGTTGGTTCCTCGAATCTTCTTAGCACATGCCAAACTTTGGACTCAAGCGCTGTCCATGACCGCCCAGACTTTCCGACCCCTGTAGACTTGCGCGGTGTGCAATCCATGGAGAAAGAGTTGTTCATTCCACACATTGTGTTTTTTGCGGCGCAGCCCAGCCTCCATCTACAAGACAAGATGGCCACCTCCACCTACATGAGAACATGAGGCAAGAAGAGCAGAAGAAGGCGGACAATTCCAAGGCCTTCAAGGGAAGGAGGTATCCAAATGAGAAACTCAAGACCCCAAAAACTCCAACGGTGCTGTTTTGGTGCTTGCCGACACTCAATCAGTTTGAGGTTGTTCACGGTGGTCTAATTTTGTTGTTCTTTTATATGCCTTGTCATCTCGGTGTTCTTGTCAAGTCCCAAGCAAAATTCTACCAACACGTCCAGCACGCTTGCGTGTTTTGTGAAGAGTTTGACAAACTCGGAGGGACCAGGCTGGTTTGCTCATAATGCTATTAACCCATAAACAAACCTAGAGTGAGTGCTATTTTGACAAGTCTGTGTAGGCCATCAATGGAGCTTGATAAGTTTGGCTAGCGAATTGCTTTTTCACGAAACATTAGCAGACTGTTCTATAGTTCAGCGGAGCGGTGGCGTAATTACAACTGGATGTTTTGGTTTGATATCGATCGCCCGCCCCTGTGATTCACCTGATTTTGGCACACGCGGTTTTCGGATGCTTTTGGTTTCATGAAGAGAATGATTTAGAGAAGGACCACGTCTGTGAATATCGGGGTGTATACACATACACTGGGGATCACTGGGGTTGCTCATGAAATTTGAACACTTTTAGATCTTTTGTGGAAGACCGTGTTTCTCTGAACTGAACTTCATTCATTGTAGGGCAGCGGCACGCATGCTATTGTTGTTGAAGCGTGGTATGCAGATCTCAGCACCACTGCTCATTTGTCAGGAAGCGGAGGCAGAAGGAGCTGAAGGCTTCGTCAATTTGCTATATTATGTAATTTATAATGTATACATTTGTTGTTGAACATTTGAAGCCTAAATGCGCACTGACCAACTCTGGCAGTCCCGAGGCCCTATTCCCGATGCTGAGTTCTTGTGCAGATAGACTTCGTCAGACATTCAATACCTCCTTCCTTGTTTGCCGGAAGAGGATCCCCATCTCGAGTGCAACTTAATCAGGTGAGTCGAAAGAAGATGGAAAGGAGAAGGGAGAAGAGGAGGAGAAGGAGATGGACCTGCGAACTCATCCAGTCGCTTCCTCATCAGGAAGCCTTTCAACTTTGAACGGTGTTTTCTTAAAGTTTCGTCATGTTTAGATATGTTTAGTCTATTCTCAATACGGTTTGAGTTTGTTGGGGGCAGAGGCAGACAGGGCACAACCTGGGAGAAAAACCTGGTTGCGAAAAGGGCGATCTTCTAGAAAGCTGGAGGCCATTGCGATTAGGTTGTAAGTCGTAAGCCTATCGTAAGCCCATCTACCACAGTCTACCACCAATGAGGGTCTTTCAACCCTCAAAGAGCCAGTCGTTGTTTTGGCTTGAAATCGCATGCCACTGCCTTTGTGAGACACAATGACACGCTCATGCTTGATTTTGAGTGAGTGCTTCGTGTTTTGTCGAGTTCGAAATGCTTTGCGAGGATGCGAAAGATGAAGATGCGATGGAAGAAGAGGTTGGAAGAAATCCCAATTCACAATATCAATAGCATCCTCACAACTAGAGGGGTGCTTCTGAAGCCACGCAGCAGGTCCTAGTGAACTTGACGGAGGAAGAGAAGAAGTCGAAAGCTTACCCTCTTTGATATGCACTCCAGGATTTGGCGATTGTCAAGACCCGGCCTATCGGTCTATCGAAATTATTTTGAGGTGGCAGTCACGCCGATATTGGGAGTCAGTACAAATCAAAATAACTTGCAAGAGTGTTTTGTAGTGATTTGCTGAGTTGTTTTTTGGGCGGTGTTTGGCGGGTTCAGCAATCATGCAAACGATTGTTGTAGACTTGCACACACCAAAATTTGACAAGACAACTTTGTGTTCTTGCTGCACATGTTCCTAGTCAATGTATTGATGGTGCCTGACCACTTCTCTACTTTCAACCGATTTGTCCTAGACCAGCCACCCCCTTCGATTCGAGACTAGCCTTTGCTGCATGACGCTTTGGGGGATGTCAAGTGCCGAAAATTATCGAACATTGATGTTGACTTGTTTTTGGGTTTAGGGTGAGTGAGTCAAGATCGTGTTTTTGCACTCTTGGAGCATAGGGTAGTAACGGGTAGTAGTGACCCTACGCAAGGTGCATTGATGGTTCATGTGTTTGGCCATGCAAAAATTGCCAAGGCGATGGTTCAGGCCCACGGATTCTCCTGACTTGACCTCCAAGGAGTGGCACCGTATGTGTTGTGTAGGTGAGAGAACATTGAGGGGTAAGCCATAAGTGGAGTAAGCTGTAGCTAGTACGATTTGGTTCCTAGAGTTTGAGGGAAACTATATACCTTTTTAAAAAGCCAGACATGTTCATCATTTTAAAAGGCTCAATCTGGTTCTGGGAAGGCATCCATGTTCACCGGGCTGTTCCTGAGAACTGACAACTGCCTCAACGCGCAACCATCTATGATGTCCGGAAAAAAAATGAGCGAAGCTTGTCAAGAGCCTACAATGGCCCCATCTACTCCAGATTGTTCCTGCAGAGTCCAGTTTCACTCCTTGAGCGGAGGAGATGTCATCATCCTATCAGAAGTTCACCCTCCCTAGCAAGGAGGAAGGCCGGATGCTTCCGGAAAGAGATCAATGCATTGAGCTGTCGGTTCTCCCACTACCTCTGGCATACTGTAATATATTGTATAAATCAATATATAAATGTATAATATATATATATATCCTTGACAAAGAGACTTATATACATGTACAGTAAATACATTGTCGTGCTTCGCAAGTTGAGCATGGCACAGGCTGCGCAGGGGAAATTGCTAGTCGCCTGTCCCACCAATAGGGCAGCAAAGAAAGCACGCCAAACCTGGTTTGCAATTATATATGCAAGTCGATGGTGTGAGAGGAACAAAAAGGGACACTTTCTTTTTAATGCAGAACTTCAGATTCCAGCGATGTTGGGCATGTAAGTTGAAAGCATAGGTAGATGATGCCAGGGTATGCCAAAGCCGATTCGTTCATTCTGTATGTCATTGTTGGTTTTGGACCAAACTAGTCTAGCAGCTAGTCTTTTGCTGATATGTAATTATACATATGCATTTAGCTGCTAATGTATTTTAAGCGTTTGTCAAGGTAAGATTTGATTTACATTGCCTGAAATAATTGTTGCTTTACGTGCTAGTTAAGAAATAGGGCTCCCAGTTTCCTGGGCGCATTTTGTTGATCCAAATTCCATCTACGATCCAAAATCCCTCTATAAAATGAGGGGGTTGACTCCCCCTATATGTTGTTTTATTTATATAAGTTGAACAGAGGGTATACCATGTTATACCTCTGATTTTATAGTGGGCGATGACTTTATAGAGAAGTTATATTGGTCCAATTGATGTCAGGACCCTGATTTTACAGACCGAGTGGATGGGAACAAGATGGAACAAGATATCAAAATAACAACAATATATAAAAAAGAAACTAAAAAAATATATTTAAAAAATACACACATCGTTTCCCTGAAGCTGCCCTGCCCTGTGTTATTTCTCCAGATTATTTCTCCAGATAACTCCATCCAGGATCCTCAGCCCTTCTCTAAGCTCCAATCCATTCCAGTGCTGCTGTTCTCACTCTACTACCAGAACAAGCTGCCCGTACAGGTGTTGCCCCCCACTCATTTTATAGACGGCTGTTCGGTGCAACTAGAAATCTCCAACGGGCTGCCGTTCTCATTCTTTTGCCACATCCAAAGACCAGCTGTCCTTTGCTCTCTCTCTCTCTCTCCAAGAAATCCATTCACCACGCACCCTTTTTGATGGCAAGGATGCTCAGCCCTTGTTTGAGCTCCAATGCCTCAGCCTCCAATCCAGCACTCCTTCTGGCCCCATGCAATTTCTATGGTTTTGTATTACCAGGCTAAGCTGCCTCCTGCGCATTTTTCAAGCAGCTGATTCCACTCCACCAAACATATGGGGCATCTAGGTGTTGGCCCCCCTATTTTTATGGACAGTGATGTTCTGTGGAAATCTTGAAGAGGCTGCTGTTCTGATTCTATTGCCACATCCAATCCAAGACAAGCTGCCCTGCCTTATTTCTCCAGATACCTTGTCTACGTTCCAATACCAGCTGGAGATCTGGAATAGGCCACGCCTGCCTCCATTCCAGTGGCATCAGCATGCATCAGAAGCAGCTTGAAAAAATCGCTGCATTTCCTGTTAGCAATTTTGGCTTACTTAATCACTGCCGTTGGATACAGCGAGCTAACTAACCTTAGAGTTGAATGTCCCATTGTGCAGCGTGGGGTTAGTTTGGGACAAACGTGGGGAAATACCTGGACACGTGGCGCGCCCAAGATGATCTCAGCACGCTAGACTTTATAGTCGATCAGCTGTTTTGTTGTCACTTCCCTCTTCGCTTTATAGGGTGAGTGTGGGTCAGGGCGTGACGTCTTATGGTGCATCTTGTAGCTTGGACCCCTCAATTTATAATTAAGCATATTGAGGGTCACACCTTGAGTCACACCCCCATAGCTATAAAGTCTGGAGTGAGACCTACCCCCTATTTTTTGTGGACACCTTTTCAGTGATTACTCATATATGTTTGTCCCAAGTCGTTATACCGAGAAAGACTCCTTGGCTTCTTGAATCGTAAAGAAACACAGACCTGGTTGGGCTCCCAGGTTGTGATGAAATCACCTTCCTGTGGCACAAGGAAGCACAGAGCAAGGACTACCTGAACAAATGGGTGCCTCAATGACAAGTGATTTAGTCGGCTTCATTTTTCGGGAGTTTGGGAGGATTTCAACCATGTGGAGGGGCTTCACATTTTGCTTGTCCGAGCCTGCATGCAAAACCTACATAACGACCACTTTCCCAAAGCAGCTGTGGCCTGAACATCATGTTGTTACAACGTTGTACAAATCGCAAGTATTTACAGTAGTATCAGTAGTGGCTCGAATTTCAAGAAACCACTATATATTCAACACAACTCTGGGAGTCATACAGCGGAAAATTGCAAAGACCTGTTCAAGAGTTGTCAGAGAGCTGCAGCAACAAACACAAGTTCAAAGGTATGAAAGGTACCCGTCCGAGACGCACAAACATTAAAATAGGAAGGTTTGCAAACCCATGTTGGAAGCCGTGCATCCACATGTTCACAAGACACATTTGAGCCAGTTATGCCAGGTCCAGGAACGCAAGAAAGTTCAGCGCGTTGACGATCTTCAGTGCCTCGACCATGATCGGTTTGCGCAGGTTTGAAAGTTTGTGAGTGGACATGACGTGTTTATCAATATGCTCTGGACCAACAGACACTTGTTTTGATTCACAATGTCGCAATATGTCGCAATCCAATCCCCTATCTCTTAAGCCTAAGCTTTGGGTCTTGAGACTTATCTCCAGTCTCACAGCAATTGAAAGATGACCAAATCCACAATGGTAATTCACCGAGGCACTCCTGAATCATGCTGATCTCATGCTGATCTCATGTTAACTGTGTGAATCGAAGACCCCGTTGAAACATTTGAGAGATATTCAGATATTCTGAATTGTCAACACAGTGTCATGGGTATGGAAACTGTTTACCCGAGAATCCAAAAATATCATCAGTTTTTGTTTAACACATGAATAGGGCCCAAAGCTGATTGAACTTGCGGAAGTTTTAGTCTGACTTGGAAGCTGTGGAGTTTTGCCCTGAATTGGAAAAAGGAAAGCAAACTTATTGGATTGGGCTCGAGACACCAGTGCACCTGAACAGGCCAATTAGAGCCCCGGCATGCCACGCCACAATAACGGTTAATTACTGTATATATTTCTTTAAACACAATGCTGCATAACCTTGAATAGGAGCCCAGTGAAAAATAGGAGACTAGGGCTTACAAATGATAACATCAACAAAGAAATAGCCGATAATAGAGGCGAGATCGAACCCCTTCTGTGACAGGCAGAGATGCCTTCAGATTGGTTCAGGAACACGTTCACTGAATGGGATTACAAAAGATCAGCGTCATGGTGTGTTTTTCTTTAGACATGCCGTATTAGTTATTTAGACTGTTTTTCTTTGGACCTGTTTCTTCTCTACATGATGTTTCTCTCGTGTTTTGGATTGTCCGGAGTTGGCGAATCCTAGGCCTTCAGATTGGTTCAGGAACAAGTTCACTGAATGGAATCGAGTGCTTGGTGCATGGACACTGGGCGGCATGTTGGAGGGGGGCCTGATGGATCGATGAACAACTGAAATCAAGTGGGAGTTCTATCGTCAAGGACACAATTGTGGTTTATGGACAACGCATATTTCTGGAGTACTCTTGAAAGACAAGCTTTTCTGGGGGCATCTCAACAACTGTGCAGTGTTGCACAACTTGTCGTTTGCAGTTTGCCGATGATTCTCGGGTTGGCTAAACAGCTCAGGAGGAAGTTGCAGTCAGACTTCAAGGAGGGGATACTGCTGGTAGGAAAGGCGAAAGGAACAGTCAGAAAGAAGTTACTCGTAGAAGTGTCGAGCCCAGACGCACACCACATCGCACCAAATTAAAGTGTTAAAGATGCTTTTGTGTGCATGCCTTCGAGAATTGTGATGCAGGCACGGGATGTGTCACTTTTGCATATGATTGCCAGGATCCAAGTCGAAGACGGGCTTTGGCCATGGCCAAGAAAGCTCAGGACCAAAGCATTGACATCAGCGTAGCATCCAAGATCATCCAAGCATTGCCCCTGTCGACAGCTTGGCGGTTTGTGGGAGACAAAAGATGTTGGTCAAATTCCTTGGCTGGTGGCATGACTTGAAAAGAGTGTTTTGCTCAGCTTCATGCTTTATTTTGAGCTACGGTGGTTGGCGAGGTCCTGATGCAACATTGTGTGACTGCATTTAGGAGGGAAAAGCTAAGAAAGCTGTGGAAGAAGAAAAGAAGGACAAGCAAGCTGAGGAGGCTTGATGCAGCAAGCAGCCCATGTCCACGTGTTTGTTTCGGGATGTCAGGGTTTATAACTTGAATGAATGGTCCATAAATTATTATGATAGATTGATAGATAGATAGATGTGTCCCTTTTGCAGCTCCTATCAACTATCCTGTATCAGCAAAAGCTTGTCGTGCCCAATTCGATAGGAAGGAGCCTCCGTTTGCATGCAGGAGAATGGTGATGATGAACCAAAGGAGGCACAGACTGTAAGGGGTACAGTGCGGCTGGTCTTGAGAAGTTCGCGTCATATTGCGCCATACTGTAAAGTCATAAGTCATAGCTCTTTAATCTAGAAAGACTCAATTTGCGCATACGCTTGCTGATTAGTGAATTATATATAATTTGGCGGTGTATTTTGGGAACCAGCCAAAGCTTTTCCTGGTCCTCGGTGCAAGGAGAAGGAAGAGCAGGAGGAAAAGGAAGAGAAGGTCGAGGTCGCAGAGGCGGCGAAGTGGCAGATCTTAGGATACGTGACTGCTCAAGAATGATCGGGGCCGACATTCCAAGTGCTGGTGGGTGGCTCGGAAGCCAACCTGCCCAAATCGTATCACAGGCTTGACGGATTGAGGCAGAGAGACATTGTTCAAATCTTTTGGAAGGAGGAAGAAGAAGAGATGAAGATTGACGTGTGGAACTCAGATTATCCTTATATATATATTCATACACATATTGACGGGTGCATTTGCAGTTCGGACAGCCATGTAGAAAAGGATTATTCTGCAATATAGACAATCATGGATTTCATAACGTATGGTGTTTCAATAGCAGAGAAAGCCCTTAACGTATGTATTTCCAGACGGAAAGCCCGGTTCGATCCACCAAAAAAAAGGCGTTGTCCAGGTCCGTAGACCTTGGAACAGGCAACAAATGGAAAACATTGAAAACATCATGCGCCCCTGAGAGCTCTGTCGGCGATTTTTCGAACGCTCACGGGTGCGCAATTGTTGCAGATCAAGAGCTTGCCCTGCGATTCTAAAGTTGTTCTCAACTCACTGCTGCCAAAGTGTTCCTGCTGAGTTTCTTTGCACGGCAATTGCACTGGTTACCTAAGCGGCCTAAGCGCAAACTGGACAAAATCAATCATGCCCTTGCTTACATAGTGTTCCCCACTGGAACTGGATCAGGAACTGGAACTGGAAGTCCCCCCCCCCAAAAAAAAGAAAACTTTTGTGATAGCAATCGCAATGCAGTTCGAGAAGTGGAACTGGATCCGGATCTAGCACTGGAACTGGAACTGGATCTGGAACTGGAACTGGATCTGAAAGTGCAACTCCCCCCCGCCCGGAGAAGACATATTTCGTCTTTACAAGAGGCATTGCAATGTAGTTGTAGAGTAGAGCTGTCACTGGAACTGGATCCGGATCTAGAACTGGAACTGGATCAGGAACTGGAAGCCCCCCCCACAAAAAAAATATTAGTTCGAGAACTGGAAGTGGAACTGGATCCGGATCTAGCACTGGATCTGGAACTGGACACCCCCCCCGCCGCCTGAAAAAAAAAAAATCTTGTGTCTTTGCCACAGGTATTGCAATGTAGTCATAGAGCTGCAAGTGGGCATGGATCCGGATCTAGAACTGGAACTGGATCTGGAAATGAAACTGGAACCCCCCCTCCCCAAAGATGGGTCACCACTGTGACCACTAGATCTGGAACTGGATCTGGAACTGGAACCCGTCCTCCCCAAAGATGGGTGACCACTGTGATCACTGGAACTGGATCTGGATCTGGAACCCCCCCCCTCCCCAGTGACCGCTGGATCTGGAACTGGAACTCTGGAACTGGAACTGAAACCCCTCCTCCCCAAAGATGAAAGATGGGTGACCACTGTGATCACTGGATCTGGAACTGGAACAGTTCCAACCACCCGGGGCACACTCTGCTTGCTTAAGTCCTTCGGAACGATGGTTTGTTGGTTTTCTCAAGAGGGTTGCCTGTGCTCGAGCAACTCGGATAGATGCCATTTGTTGACAACTTTGTACCTTGTGCTTTAATGCAACATATGCGGCAAGCTGGTTCTATCTTGGCTGTCTTGGCAGTTGGGTGACATGTTTTCGCTTTCGGTCTGTGGTGTTGCCATCAAGTGTCTTTCATTTGCCCTGGATTGTCATGGTAAGCTCCTCGCTCTTCAGGCTGAGTCCTTGGATCCCCTTGCAGTCGAGGCATGGGTTGGGCCCACTCAAATTAATTAAACGGCCAGGAATGAAGTGAGATCAATCTCAAAGAAAGAAACACATCTAAGGTCTATACTAGATCGAACAAACTGACAAGAACCTGAGTACTGATCTTAAACTCCAGAGAGTCTCTTTGCCAACGGGGAGACCTTGTACATTGTAGACACAATTTTCTAACATTTTCTGTGTATAGCGTGTATTTCAGAGCAGGATCAGTTAGAATTCAATGGCAAAGATCCTACTAGTAAAACAACAGAGGATACATTTGCACCTAAATGGATCTTTGCTGAAGCTGCACAGGATGTCACAGATTTTGGCAACGGCGAACCTTTGTTTGCTAATTTCCAACACGAGGACAGAAAGGAAGGATGGTGGGTTAAGGAGTCAACAGAGGTACAGAACCTTTGAACTTCGTAAGTTAAGGGTTGCAGCGACAACAACCAGCCCTGTTGGGAAGTGAAACTCCAATTTTGTTCATGATGCATGATGCTTGCTCGTACTGGGCTTCGATGATCCAAGATTCAAGATCCCCACGATTCTATGGAGACACTAGCGGCTCACCGCAGTTTACAATTAGCACTACTGTAGATTTTTTCACCAGGACTGGACATTGATGAGCTTGCGCTTCGAGCTTGGCACCCAGATTAGGAACCATGTTGTTTGAGGGATTGTTAGAAATTCAGAAAGGAACGCTGTGGGGGCCTGCGTTTTCCAGTGTTTCTAAAAAGCTAATGTTTTCAATAAAATCCCTTTACTTATATATATACATATATATATATATATTTATTTAACTTTTCTTATAACAAGCAGTTCCCGGGCAAGCCGGCGGCGGAAGTTTCCTATAAGAACACATTGACCTATAGGGGTGCCCACGTTCTCTCCACCATGCGTGTCCCTCGTGTCCCTCACTCAGCCAAACGCATGCGCTCCGGAC